CTCAGGTTCCTTGTGCTCTGGTTAACTGACAGTACAGGTTCCTTGAGTTCTGGATTGTTCCTTTCCCCTTCCTCTCCCCCTGCCCAGTGCTCATGTCTATCTAAACTACCTAACACTTTCATTTAATTTCACGTAATATTCTATCCTGAGTGTTTATTTCCATGAGATACCAAAAAATGTAATCCAACGAAACTAAGCATTTTAAACATACCTCCAATAACCCATTTATGTGTTACCATCATGAAATCTGTTCAATCACAAAGCAAGTATTTACAGTATTTGATATTAGCTCTAGGACCTAGAGAGAATATAAAAGATGTCTGCCCTCAAGAAGTTCACTTAGTCATTCAACAAATATTTATCAAGCGTTTCTTACTAAGTGCTAGGCTGGCATAGCAAATGTAAAGAAAATAGATATGCCCTTGCCCTCCAGTAGGTTAGCCAAGAGTAGGACTCCTACAGGAAAGCTGCAATTACTGTATAGTTGTAAGTGCTGGATTCAGGGGGCCAGGGGAGGCTTCCTGAGATAATAACTTACAGCTGCAGCACCCAACCAGGCAGCTACCACCCACATGTGGCTACTTAAAAGTTCAGTTCCTCCACTGCTCTAGCCCCTTACCACTGCTCAAAAGCCAGGTGTGGCTAATGGCTACCATAATGAACACTGCAAAAAGAACACTTCCCTCTTCACAGAAAGTTCTTTGAACATCACTGAAGGAAAACAGTGCTGCTTAAACTCCAGGTGACATAACAACACACAAATACCCGAAACAGCAAGAAACAAAGGCTAACAAACTAAGCAAGCCCACAGCAGCATACTTAAATATACACATTAACAAGAGAACAAACGGTAAGCGTGAAAGTAACCAGGCGTTTGCAGGTTTACACAGGGATAAAGAGTTAGGTTGATTCTATAACGATTAGTAGTATACATTTTAAAATTGAGTTGTTATAAGCCATAAAATATACCATATTAAATATTTTCCTAAAAGTCTTGCTGGTGGGATTGTATCTGATATATTTGAAACACTTGAAATAAATCCTATAAATAAGATACCATGTGCCAAATCTTCTATAAAATAAAAATAAACATATTCATTCCATTCCAAGAGTCATTGTTACAGCACAGGTGCATTTAAAAATGCACATTTATGTTAGCAAAGTAAAATGCAACCAGGATGCTTTTGCATCATAAAAATGTAGAAAGCTAGACTTCTACCATTTTCAATTCCCTGCTTTCCCTCCACAATTGCTACATGTCCTGCACGTGATCTTCTGCCATTTAGATGACTGGCTTTAGATTGTATATAAGATTCATAAATGACAAGAGTCAATGTGAAAATGAAGTACAATTAAAGTATGGGGGGATGTTTCTAAGAAGGAGAGTGTTTACTGAAATATTTAAAAGGCACCAATTTACTCTGCGATGTTGCTACAATGTGAACCACTCTAGCTGGCTGGGAACATACAGCAAGTTATTATCCCATGAGAATATCCTCCTCTGATACATATCAAAACATTGTCTCAGAGTTTAAACCTGAAGTGTCTATAAAATCTCTAGATTAATGAAGAGCCTGACATCTAATTCAAAAGAAAACTGACATTACAAACCTATCAATCTAGCCCACAAGGATGAGGTCTAATCCAAATCTATGTTTAGCAGCCTCAGCACAAGTGCTCCCCACAACTTTCCTCCCCATGATTAAAAATTAAGGAATCTCGGGGTAGCAAAAGACCAGAAGCAGAGTCATTTGGCCTAGGTTTGAATTCCCAACGGCAAAGGTTTCTCAAACATTTTAGTAAGCAAGGGGAGGCATGAGAGATGTAGAGGCCCTGCTCAGGAAAACGACGAAGGGCGACTAACAGCACGCAGCACAGCACTGCGCTCAAGGGGCTCCCCCAGAGCGCCGGGGCGGTCAAGGCTGGGGCGGCGGGGCGGGTGCCAGAACTCAGCGCCGCCGCGGGGTCCGTCCCGTCCCACACACCTGGCGGCATCTCATGCTGAAGTTAAACCTTCGGTCAGGTACGAAACCAGAAACCCACGTCCCGGCCAGCGGGCCGCGCCAACCCCGCCCCCGCCCCACGGAGGCCTCCAGAAGCCGGC